GGGATCCCGAGAAAGTCGTTCCTCAAGGGAGTCTATACGTTGTACTAACGCAGTATTATGCTCCTCGAGAGTCTGACATCGTGCCGCCAGGGAAAGATCAGCTGCCTCAAGAGAACTGCATCTAGTGCTCATGGCTCACATGTCAAGTGCCAGCTGTTGTACAGAAGTGGCCATATCCTGCGTGGTCATTGTAAGCTCAGACACAATACCCTTTATGATAGGAAGTTCTCTTAAGTCGGTACGTTGATTCTTAAGCTCATCCATAATATCTTTCACCAGTGCGGTTAAGGAGGTTAACTGGGCAGACGTTGAAGTTGACGAAGAAGCAGTAGATTTATCCATGATGGTCCGGGCAGAAAGTCGAGTATGTGGAGTGATCTTGTCTGCAGAAAGGCCGATACCTTCAGAAGATGGCAACGGTGAGTAGCAGGGCTTGCAGCGCAGGCACAGGAATTGTGGAGCCGAGTTGGACCCACCAGTCAGGCACGAAGGATGAGCATAAGCGTTGCAAGCAAAACTAGCGCACTTAATAGCCTTGGTGACGGATATGAACTTTTTGCACGCATCACAGTGCACAGCAAGCATGGGTGCATGAAGGAGTTGTAAATAAGTGACAAAACCATACAACCATTTACAGCCGATAAGGCAGTTTGGTAGGCGGCAGATTATATAGTTCTGTATATAGTTACGCTATTTGTATAGTCTTTATATAGTTAGGCAAAACAGACGAACGTAAACACACCGAGAAGCACGGTAACAGCTGACCGATTGGAACTGATAAGAACAGCTGTGACACGCACGCGCAGAGATATCAACGGCTCGCACGATAATTTTCACGCACGCACATTGAAGGCAGAAAAAGAAAACTAAATTAAAACAAGAATATGTACTCAGAAAATCTACAATGGCACTTGAACACACACGCGCGCGCAATCCCACAACATAGGCACAGGAAGATGTGAGTTTATGAACAGATAGACTTGAAAATTAATAATTGCCAGAGCAGAACAACAAAGAGACACCTGTACAGCGGCCATTACCAAGCCTTGCTTCCTTTACCCCACTTTTTATGTGAGTTGGAAGCCCCCAGCCCAAAGTAGGATGTTTCGGCGCCGTGACGTTTACATTCCATCCCCCGAGGGAGAACACATCCTGAGAGTCGGATGTTTCCACTCTGTACGCAATGAAGGTACTTTCTCTATCGGCAGGCTATTCCTTATATGTAAACTCGTCTTTGAGGAGGTTTACATTTATGTGCATCAAGGCCTGCTCCAATTCCTCTTCTCGCCCGGGGACGGACATCGTGACGTACTTGCGGTATCCCCAGTGGTCCATACCTGCAAAGATGTCCATGTGATCATGCGGGAATGTCTCACCCGCTCCCACTAGAGGGTACGACAGGTGGGATAGAAGCCATCCCTCCTTACCGGTATCCCCCACCCCGCTGTTAGAGGACATGAAGACGACAGAAGTGTTGCGATCATGGAGGGAGAGGGAGAGGGAGGGGGAGAGAGAGAGAGAGAGAGAGAGAGAGAGAGAGAGAGAGAGACTGGGCGAATTTCTTTGGTGCCTTGAGGGCGGCCGCTTTTGAGCTTGATGCTGTACGGTTTATTTCGCTAATTTTGTGGTGAGATCTTTCGCTTCCTTAATATTTTCCGATTTTTGGCATATTGAAGATTTTAGACACGTGCACGGCTAAACCGTCCATTTAGCCGGTGACGAATTTTCTTTGTCGTTATCGGGCGAATGTCTTTCCGCCTAGTATAGTATAAAGGACGATAGTGGTGTTAGTATTTATATTTTTGAGTTTCCGATTTTGCGCTTTTCTGTCTGATTGGGTGTTTGCTATTCTTTTATAATTAACGAACTTTCTGGACTCTTCGCCTAGTGTACACGTGGGAATCTGCCTGCACGCGTGTTTAACCCCGGATTAACCGGCTTGGTTGTTCTATAGTCAGATTCTCGCGCGGCCGGTTATATTGTTTGCCCATTATTATAAGATATCGTTTACCGTGAAATTATTCTTCTTCTTCTGAAAAATTATTGTGACACTTCCGAACTCTAAGTTCGGTTAAATTTAGTAGCAAGCTCACGCCGTCTTTAGTTTGCCTAATCTTATGTTCCTCTTTCGAAGTCAAATACTTTAAACCAAATTCTTTTCTTTCTTTGAGCTAATCTTTTGTGGCTTTTGCTGAAGTGTAATTCCGAATTTAATATTCCCATTTTGTATGCGATATCTTCCGTTCTGATGGCTGCGATTTCTTGCTGGTGTGCCGTATCTGATTATCGTTGCCGAACATTATTATAATTTCATCGTTATATTCGCTGTGGAACTTTTGTGAATTTTGCGTATTGCACACGTCCTTCCGACGTCGCGTGCCAGCCGCCCTCCGAGGCGACCTTGCTTGTTGACGTTCCTCGACGTCGCGCCTTCGGCCGATTTCGAAACTGTACTACCCGTTCCGAGAACGTCTTACCGTGGCAACGATAATGACATACTTCTTATAATATTCTATATTTTTCTGACTGTGATATATTTTTCTGTGCCATATCTCATATTAATTTATTGTGATATCTCTAATTCGTGTGCTACTTTTCGTGATCGCAATTTTCGAACTGGTGTTTGCGAACCCGCGTGTATTATCCTTTGTCGGGTTCCTTCGTAGTTATAATTCTTTGGCGTGACTCTTTCGTATTACGGTTGTTGATCGCGGTTATAATTTCGCGCGTGTGATAATTGGAACCGCGCAGATCGTTCCGCTGCCGTTCCTCTGCCGTTCCTTGCGTTTCGATTTTTCTCCGTATCGCTATTGGGTTTATTTTAATTCCAAACGAATTTGTTAGTTTATTCCGAGTAATTCGATTCTTCCGATCATATTATTTTCCGTGGATTCGTAGTCTAGAAGTATCGATCCCGCGTGCACTCGTGTGCGCGCTCACGCGTATCGTCCTCGGTCGTGGTTTTCCGAGAAGCAGACTGCGTCTATAGTCTCCTAAGTTATATTTTTTTTAGGTCTATATTTTACGGTTTAAAATCCTTATTCCTGCGACGGGCAAAACATATGACTATTATACAGGTGCTCTCTCGCGGATAAGGATGAAACAGGGTCAGCAGGTCGGTGAATTTTACGATAAGATACGGATCCTCCTTAGCGGTGGGCGGTCTGCATATCGGACACAACATAACATTGACCCACTTCCGATTTTAGATACCGATCATTGTGAATTAATTTTATGATTTTTGTAAAACTATGCTTGGCTTTCGCTCGCACTCTCCCTAATGCCTGAGTTAATGATTTTTGTAATTTTGCTATTGCGTCCATGGATTATTTGGAATTTTGTCCTGCTTAATACAGCTCTGGTGCGTTAACTATTTAATTTGGATTACTTTCTTGTAGTTGTTTGTATCACTTTCCTATAAGTCCTTGACTGAGATCCTTCCTTCCTTACCTCTTGAACGCCGCGACGCTTCCGACGAGCTAGTGTCACGTGCCGTGCCAAGATTCGCCGATAGAGACGCTCGTCGGAAACGCCGCGAAATAAGTCCAAGTCGCGTCCTGTACACGAAGGAGGGCGATATTTTTGCTCGCCCTACGTATTATGATCATCCCTCACTCGCGGAGAAGAGTTCGCGCTCTTCTTATTACACCAGCGATTCTCGGCCGACATACCGAGAAGATGGTGAATATCGCCACGCGCGTGAAACGCGATCGCACTATCAGGATGGTGACCGATCATACGATCGGCGAAGGTATGACGCGAATCGTTATTATGGCTCGCGCACCCCATCTCTTGCGTATCGGGATTCCCGGCGGGAATATACGGTTCGACAGGAATCGCCTGATCCTGATCTTTCACCAAGACCGAGCGGAATTTTGAAGCACCGCCCGTGAAGTGGGGACTATACCCGAGAGAGTGAGCGTCACGGGCGACCCAGCAGCGGATGTTGCCATTGTTCTAGGGTACGAGTCGATCGTTCATCCAGTCCGGTTGATCGTCAATCTTTAAACTACCAGGAAGCTCGTCGTCCAAGTCCGACGGCGAGCCGATCACAAGAAATGCACCATGCAAGTCGCCTGGACGAGAAGCAAAATACGGTGAAATTCCTGGAAAGGTCTACACCGTCCTCTGGACGAGCGCCTCAGTAGAATCACCGGTAGTGGAAATGTCAGCCCCGGAACTTCGTAACCGAGTAGGACGATTTT